AGTTTTGGTCCGAGAGTCAAGCGAGTGGACATTTCTTACATAAAATTGACTGCTCGTTCTTCTGCCATGCTCAGAATTTTCCAACATCCAACGGTTCGTGAGATAAATTTTCATTTGGAGGTCTATATTTGCTGAAAAAGTGGAGAATTTTTAATTCGATTTTTTCTCTTTCCGGGCAAATTTGGGTTAGCGGATCAGACTAGGACACATTTTTGTAATAAGCTGACCGAGTGCTTGTACCAAAACATAAAAAAAAAATATTTTTTTTTTCATAAAAATTTGGAAAAAATCATCCTCCCTATCATCTCCCAGCTATTTGTTCCGCATATGGTCTCAATCATATTTTTAAAGTCTCCGTCTTCGTTTATTAATTCTGCGCTTATGTTGTCTAATCTAGGTGACTTGTTTTTCAGTCTGGTAACTGCTTCTTGCATTTCAGCTACTGAAGGGAGGGTTGTTTCTCTGGTATCTGTTTGATCCAGTATAATTACATCATATAGTGGATCTTCGTTTATTTCAAACTTTTCTTTGAAGAATTCTGTCCATCTTTGTAGTATTTCACTCTGTTGAGTTACTATATCTCTTTCTTTGTCTCTGCACATCATTGTTATTAGTTTAAATTCTTTTCTACTTTTGTAGGTATTGGTAGACCTTTCTGGTTTCTGGTTTAGTTCGTCCATTTCTTGGAGTTCTTTTTCTATTTTTTCTCAGGTCTCTTTGGCCGCGTCTTGTATGATGTTTTTACACGCTTCCCATTGTTTATATCCTCGTGCTTTTGTCTGGTTTCTAGCCTTCCTTTATACATTCTTTGTATTATGCATTTTTGCTGTTGTCTGCTAAGTTTTTTTATTTCATATTTTTCAATTTTGGATCCCTTTTCTTTTTTAATGTTTGAGATTCTGGCTCTTATTCTACTTTCCACTAGGTAGTGATCCGAGTCTGCATTTGCCCCTCGTCTGCTGCATACGTTTATTACGTCTGAGTAATGTCTAGAGTCAATAACAACATGATCGATCAAGTTTACTGTAACCCCATTTGGAGATCTCCACATTCCCTTATGAATATTTTTTCGCTGGAAGCATGTACTGGCAATGACCTTGTTGTCAATGGAAGTTGCTAGATTTATTAGTCTGATGCCATTGTCATTGGATACCTCATGAAGGCTATGCTGACTTATAGTTGCTATTTTCCTATTTTTGCGTTGAGATCACCATACCTAAATAATTTTGATTTCATTATTTGAGCATGAATGGTATGCAGCTTCTAGTTCTTCATAGAATTTTTCTTTGACATCGTTTGCCTTTTCCTCTGTAAGGGCATACACATTTAAGATGCTATAATTAAAAAATGTTCCCCTACTACAACAAATAAAATGACAACTTTGAATAGTGCAGTATAAGATAGAGTAACATATAGAAAAATATGGAGAAAATGGAAGATAAGGAAAGGCGCAATTATTTTCTATTAAAAACACTAATTCAACTTCTGTTATTTCACTTTATTACATATAATACAAAATTTGTACAAAATATTTAAAAAACAAAATAAATTGTCTACTTGGTTGGGACTAAAACATTTTATCATACTATTAGTTTTGGTGTATAGATTTGAGTATATGTATGTAAGAAACACTTTACATTTGGTGTTGCCCTCATATTTGGTATGTTTTACACCTTCATCTGTTAAATCTGTATTTAATTCTACATCTGTCTATATGAGCATTTCATTATATATAAACTGTCTTGTGGACACATTGTCCTACTCTCTACCGTCAACTATGTTTTCTTGTCATTGATAACTGTATCACATAAGTAAAAACCGGGCTAAGTGCCAAAAATCGAAAAAATATTTTTAGTGATTAAAAGTGGTATATGTGCCAATCTCGATGCTGTATAAACTGGGCTAACTTCATAACTACTCAGAAGTATTATAGTTTATTCGTCTTCCGGGTTTGGACCGTGTCATTTGTGAGTGACCCAAAAGTGGGTTCATCTCGACGTTTCGCTACAATTGTATGTAGCTTCTTCAGAACAAAAGAAAAAGAAATCAAAAGACAGGAAGATGGGTAGTTAGCAACGGTAACTCAGTTACTCAACGCAACCAGAGGCGAATACTAACTACCAAGATGGGCATTTGGTCACAGTAACTCAACTACTTAACGCAGCCAGAGGTGAAAACCAAATGCCAGGACAGGGATTCACGTCCAACAGCTCAGAACACTAACGCGTCGAGAGGCGGGGAGTGAATCCTCTCCCTGAAACTTGTTTATGGGCATAATTTATTGCATTAAAACAGACTGATTTAGGGATATACTAAAACAGTGTAAACAGATATTTGTTTTTATGTTATGTTTGTTTTTGTTTTTTTTTTTTTTTCTTGGATAGGTAGAAAATATTTGTGCTTCAGTAAGTGTAGCACTTGAAAAATCAAATTATTGCCGTTGAGATGACACAAACCAACTGACGTGAATAAGTAAGTAACAATCTTAACTTAGTCACATCAGTTGGTTTGTGTCATCTCAACTGCAATAACCCTTTAAGTTATACGAGCAGAGAAGCCATGCTGCTTTTATGTTAAAATATAATCCATTAACATTGACATTGTGTCGCATTGTAACTATATAGAATAGTAATTAATTATGTAATTCTGACGACCATATATCAACTAGTTGGCTATAGTTTCACATACTTTTCAGAATGTCACTGAAGATGAACTGATAATTTCGAAAGCGTCCTGATTTTGCTTTTTAATCCACTTGGATGACTTTTTAAAAGTTTTTACTAAATGTGTACCATTTTACAAACGGAAGTTTTTTACTTCATTGTAAGTTGTTTAAACTGTGGTATATACAACCACTGGGACTTTCCCTTTAATTTTTTTTAAAAAAATCATCTTTAAAATAATGTCTATTATGCTATAATAATGGAATCTCTCCGGTTTCAATTATTTATTCTTTTTTTTTTTTTTCTTACAGATACTCTGCCTCATCATTGCCAGAACAGATAACTTGTAAACACAATTCTAAGGCATACTCTTGTCAGAAGCTTACGATGCGCGATATAAAACAATTTCATGATGCTTTTTATGCACAAAAAACGAAAAGTTATCAAGACAATTTCATTGTTAAATATTGCAAGGCAATTCCAATTCAACGAAAACGTATTGTGAATGGACATGGTAATGAACGATTATTATCATTTACGTATTCTGTCAGAACTTGCGAAGCACAAATTATACCCGTATGCAGAAGTACATTTTTAAAAATACTTTTGATAAAGAAAGGGCGAATAAGGGGTGTCCTTCATCGTTATCATCGTACCGGAGAAATGCATACTGAAACTAGAGGTGGTGATAGAAAAACAACAAAGTTTCAAAGTATGAAAGGTAATATAATACAATTTATTAAAACTTTTAAATGTGTTGAATCTCATTACAATACAGCAAAACTGATTCGAAAGTATTTACCTTCTGAACTCAATATCTCCAAAATGTATAGGATGTACAAAGAGTCATATCCAAACACTCTTTGTAAGCTCTCATATTTCCGTCATATATTCAATACAAAGTTTAATTTGGATTTGGAAGTTCCAGAACAGATGTATGTTCTAAGTGTTTGGAGCTGGATGGAAAAATTAAGTCTTAGCAAAGTGCACAAGAAAAGACAAATTTAATTGTGGAAAATCGAGTCCATAAATTAAGGGCAAAAGCTTTTTATCAATTATTAAATGAGAAGAAGCCGGATATGAAAACAATAACGTTTGACTGCCAGAAAAACCAAGTTCTTCCCAAAGTTCCAGACCAGTCTGCATATTACTCACGCCAATTATATATTTATAACTTTACCATTGTGGAAGGTAGTAGTAAAGACCACTTTAGTAAAGAAAATACTCATGTTTTCCACTGGACAGAAAACCAACACAAAAAAGGTTCTAACGAGATAGCAAGCTGTGTTTATCACTTTTTAAAAAATGTTAATTTGCAGGGAATAAAAGTTTTGCGTCTTGCCTCTGACGGATGTGGGGGGCAAAATAAAAATTCCATTATCTTAACAATGTGCATGAACTGGTTGAGTACAGAAGCTCCTGATGAAATTGACAAGATAGAGTTGATATTTCCAGTAACGGGGCATTCGTATCTTCCCCCTGACAGGGTGTTTGGAGTTATAGAAAAAAAAATTAAAAAAGATGGAGACCATTATATCTCCAGACGAGTATGTGAAAGTTTTTCAAGAAACTGTGACAACGTATGATGTCACAAATATATCTATACAAGATTTTAAAGATATGGCGAAGTCTGCTCTTAACAACACCCAAAATTTTCATTTCCAAATAACAAAATGTAAAAGATTTACTGTTACACATCTCGCAAATCTGTATTGGTGTCTGGCGAAGAGTTTTATAAGTCCGATATTAGCAACGCTCGAAGTCTTTTAAAAAAATGTGTAACATTATCTTCATTTACACCAAAAAGACTAACACCTGGAGTTTCAGTTAATGCTGCTAAAATTGCAGATGTTAAAAAGCTTTTAGAGAAACATTATGGAGCGGACTGGATTGATAGAGAAGTCGAAAACACAAAATTAGCATTTTATTTAAACATTATCAATGACACTACTTCGACAGAGGTCCTTGAAGAAGATGAACCTTGTTGTGATCATCAAAACGACGAAAGTATAAGAGTTTGATATTTATCATCTAAATGTTGATTTTTTTTAATTCAATAAATTTTTGTAATACAACTTTGCATTTATTTAATAATCCTACTAATGAATCTGAAAGTATGAGCATGATACCATAGTTTCAGAAATGACAGAATCCGTACCTGTTTACAGTGGCATTTTGTTTAGTTTCAGATTTAGGCAAATCCATTATTGTAATTTTCAAAAGGGGTCAAATCCTCTGACATTTAGTACAAAATTTTCAAAACTGGTCAAATCCAATCTATTAGTAGCATTTTCTGTGTATTAATGTATTCAAACGATAAAATCAATGTTGTTCTTTAAGAAATTAAACTCCTATATTCGTATGAAAATATTAATGTATCACAAAATGCCAGTCTATTGTGTTTGTCACATAAACATATTTATCTCCATTGTAGTAAAAATGGAGTTGACCAATTTTGAACCCAGGGTACAGAAATATCTGTAAGAAATTTATGAATTTTCTATAAAATAAATTTGTATAATTGTAAAAAGTTATTATTAATCTACATAAATACTGAAGAGGCTAAAATAGAAACAACATTGTTGACACTGGAGACTTTGTTAGTCTCATGGACTAAATTTGAAAATTGAAATTATAATCATGAAATCCAATACAAAAAACTCATTAATGGTGTAAGAGATAGATCAAAGCCCCAAAGAGACTACAAATAGTATACCAGGCACAACGGTACATCTTAATATTATTTTTTTGGTAACACTGTTATAACACTAAATTTTCAAAAATTAAATATCTCTAAAAAGATATTAAATTATCCACTGTAACCTCAACACCATTACCAGCACCATTTTGAACTGACAAAGTCGTGGGTTCACTAAAACCATTTAAATCAACATGACTATGAAAAGTAGATTGCTTTTCTTTTGACTTTTCTTTTACTTTAGTTTTTTTTACTTCAGTATGTTTCACCACACAATCTTTACTCTTAATGTATTCTAGCACTGGATCCTTCCCCGTTCTCATACTGATTTTGGTCTTTAAAATTACATATTGAGATCTCCAATATTCATATGATGCCATTTTTAAAGCTGATACCCATTTGCTAACATCACTATCACATCTACAGGAAAAAATATGTTTAGCATCCTCATCTTTAAGTCTGTCATTCACTTTAAATGTTATTGAAAACGCAAAAGGTATTCCCTTGTGGGGCCTCTCATATGACACTTGCGCATTTTCTAATATTAAAATACCTATAGGTTCGTCTTCTCCTACCTTGTAGTAAAACAATACATTAGACATTAATTTAAAGTATCTTTCTTTAAAATATGGACGTTGATACCAGTCTAACCAGTCGTTTCCCTGGGGTTTCATGTGATGTAAAACACCTTCTAAATCTGCTTTATTCTCTCCAAATGTAATCAGCTCTCTGTCGTTGTACTTCATTTTATTGATAAATATAAATATTGCAAAAGTCTTTCTGAATTATAATTATATAATCAGATATTTTATTTTAACTATATCAGCATAATTTTAACTTTCTTGTCAACTTTGAACAGAATAGAATATTAAATGTTTTTTATTTTATGTAACTGTCAATAGTGTCAAAGTCAATTTAGAAGATCTAGAGGTGTGTTAATTTCGCCGAAATTAATATCCAATAATATGTAAACTGTGCGTTTAATTAATTTATCAAAATTATTTTTAAAAATATTTTTTACTGTAGTGAATACTAAACATTTTTGCACTTAAATGTTTTGTGTAATAATGATCAAATTATTATATTTTATTATGAAAGCCTTGACATAAACTTAACACAGCCTAAGTTTGTTTAATTTTGGGTGTCAACGATGTCAACGTCAATTATATATAATATTTTTGTTTATTTTTTTTAGGTGTTGTTTTACAACTGGATGTATGAATCTTAAAATAGAAATTAAATAATTTAAATGGGATGTAAAATAATTAAGTAAAAAATAGGTACACTAAATATTTTAGAATACTCGTGAAATATTTTCAGTAATGTTTTTTTAAAGCTTATGACCTTAAGTTTGCACTTCCTGAATGTGTCAGTGATATTCTTCAGTTTTTCTTCTCTATATATGTCACTAATTATGTTGAAGTCTAATGTAGGAGAATTAAAACAATAATAACACAATAAAATGATATTTTTCAACATTATAAAATATTTGTGGATACATGGGTGAAAGTAATCCTAGTTCTTATGAAACCTTTGGAATGAGTCACACAAAGGAGCAAAATCCCCTTTCTCAGCCTTTGAGAGTTGAAACGGATGATACGGTACACCCAGGAGATACCAATTATTTTGAAGAAGAAGTAAATAATTTTAACCAAACCAATAATAATGATAACACAGACTCACTGGGCCCACTTCCTCCAAAATGGGAAAAAGCTTACACAGAAAGTGGAGAGGTGTATTTTATTGAGTAAGTCATTTAAATTAAGCTTATTTTTTAATTAAATAATAGTAGGAGCACATTTAATGTATTAAGAAAAAGTTTATGATACTACAGGTACTACAATTACAAAATGCAGAAGAATTTATGAATAATATAATTTAAAAGTTCAACTGTCAAAAAATTAATTTTACAAATTTAGACACTAAAATGAATTGCAACAGAGAAACGTTGTGAGTGAGTGGGTTGTTTTTCCCCTTCATTTGCTTCTTTGGTATGAATAGAAATGTTAGTTTACCCTCTCCACTGTATTCTTTTTTTAGTTTTTTTAAAGGTAGGTTTAGAAAAATGTTTAGTACACCACAATTATCCAGGTACTTGCAGACTTTTGCATAAAATCATTATAAAACTGTGTATTTAGCTCTGTAAAAGCTCTCAACTTTTTAGAGTGTCTAGTTTCTAGTACATTCTTTAGATCGCAGAATGATTTATTAATAGTATAAATTTTTTCTTGTCTTTGCTTTTAAAAGATTTGGGAAATACACTGGTTCTTTGTGATTCTTACAAATTTGAGAAAAGTGAGTAAAATAATAAATTTGACTAATTTAGATACTAGATTGAAGTGTTGTTGATAACAAATCAGTGTTGGGAATGAGTGAATTGTTTTGGGCTTTTTCCTGTTTATCTACCAGCCCTAACAACTACATATTGGGAGAAACTAAAATACACACATAATTCAGATAGTTGACATTTTTTTTAATAATTTTTTGCAATGTAATATGTAATTATTTAATTACTACTAGTACAGGTACAAAGGATACAACACAAAACAAAACAGAGTAGCATCACACTTAATAGTCATACATTCTGATGGTTGGGCATTGACTCAACTAAGGATTTGCACTCGTCAGGTATAAATCTATTTCAAATGTCGTTTATTTTAGCTTTAAGTTTATGTAATGTCAACCCTCAACTGTGGGTTATTCGTTAGTGTCTGTTTCATTTTATGCCATACTGGCATAACAAAATAATGGTTTTATAATTATTTACCCAAGACTAATTATATGAATTGCTAATTAAAAAACTGAAAAATACCAGATTGTGTGGATCTGGTATATAGAAATTCTTGGGTTTATCATATAATTTCTAATTGATGGAATAATTTCACCTCTCACACATCTTCTTTCCTTTAAAATTCTTGTGAGCTATTTTTTTCTGTATGACAAGCTCAATTAATTCTCGCGAAAACCAAACTGGAAAGTTTAATGATTTAAACCGTTTGATAGGAACAAACATATTGATGGCATCATATAAAATATGGTAAAAATTTTCTAAGCAGCAATTTATATCTGATTCATCTTTTTGTCGTATTTTTCTTTTATTATTTATTTAGTTTATTTTATTCTTTAGTTTAGTGTTCTATAGTCATCTTAGTCATAATTTTAGTTTAGTTTCTTTATTAATTATTTTTAATTTGTTATAATATCAACACTAAATTTGATATACCCCGTCCTTTATTTCTTTGTAAGAGCCACCTGCGAGCCCAAAGGCGTCTGATCTTTTCTTCTTACTATTAGCTGTACGCAGTTGTTGCCGGCATATTATTATTAAAATTCGGAAGCCAATGCAAGCAAAGATTTATTTTCCATTATAATAGTTTAAAAATCTACTAGTTGTTACCTATACTGTGTCTAATATCTCTATGACCATAAACAAAAAGAAAAATCAATAAAACCTCATTGTCACTCATACCATAAATCATAACTTATTCAGTGTAAACATGATTTTTTAAAACATCATAGAAACGAGGAATCATAACAAATCTCATATGATAAAATCATGTAGTGTAAAGTCAACATTAGTCCATATAATCTAATGTCTAAATTATTCAATTTCATTATGGCTGATCCTACATTATTTGTTTATAAATTTCTTAGTGCTAGGGAGAGAACAGTAGTACCTACATATATTTTGTAAAAATTCTTCACTACAAATAGTGTTATTTCTCACTCTTAAAAAAAGATTTTGTGTACCAATGGAAGACCTAGAATAACTCAGAATGGTTATCAATATTTCTTGGAATTTAGTTCTTTGGCTTCGTTAGGGACTGCAAATATTCCCTTACCTTCAACTCTGTTATTTTTTGTTTTGGTTTTATGTTTCTACAAATATAATTTCTATAGACTGCTTTATTAAAGATATATCCTTATAGATCCACATCTTAATTTTTAATAACCTTAAGTTGGATATTTTGTAACATTTGTGTCATATTTGCTGCTCAAAATGGACATGTATCACATTGGCGTTAATTTCTGTGTACTTGGATAAAAAATTTATATTATGGTTATTTTATTTTAAAACTACTTTCCAATTTAATCACTGACTTGAGGAATATGTAATTTAAGAAGTCTAAATGTTGAAGGCAAAAAACATTTTAAGTGATATAAAATAAAGAGCTCAAACCTAAAAGGATGAGGGTTCATTATTTGTCATTATGGAGATAAAACTAATTTCTTGTACTTTATCTCATGTAAAATATTATATGGTATCTAACTAAGCAAAAAAGGTGAAGGTGTACAAGCCATTCAGCTTTGAAAGATAAATCTTCTAGGCTAAAAAAATCAAGGTGCTATGTATGCAGGTTAAAAGGATACAGTCCACCTAGTTCAGATTGCTGATCACATGAGTCTCTGCTATTAGTGCTGTTTGTTACTCAGATGTTTTGTAAACATACATACCTGTGTTTATTTACAGCTTTCTGTTATTCTGGTTTAGATTGGTGTTATTTTATTATTGAAGTACTGTGTTGTTTAAAATGTCTGACAACGAATATTCTGCAGCAATTGAAAACTGTTCAAGAAAAGGTTTTGGTCGCATGCAAGATGACATGAAAAATATTGAAGTTATTAAGCCATGAGTTAGGACTAGGCTGTAAGTGTTTAAGACTTGAGTGCTTTAAAAACATAAGTTTAAGTGAAATACAAGATATTATTTCTGAGGTCAACCTGAAGTCAATTTACAAAAGATCCTAAAAACAACAGGTGTAGCACCATTGGACATGAGAGGAAAACATTGTTCGAAGCCTAATAAGATTCCAGATGATATAATTGCCTCTGTAATTAATCACATTAAATCCCCAAAACTAGAAAATCACACTACATGATACCAAAATCCAAAAAAAAATACTTACCTCAACAGCTTAATGTAAGTAAAATGTTTTCTTTATACAAAATAGCTTATCCAAACAATAAAGTATCTCTGGAAAAGTACAGACAAATATTTAATTCTAATTTTAACTTGTCTTTTGGCTATCCTAGGTGTGACACCTGCAGCACCTGTGAGGAATTTACGGTAAATATTGATACAATACAAACTAAGTTAACCCTATTTGCTACAGCCGATGATCATGCAAGACAAAACTGTGAACTAAAAACTCTTTTGCAAAAAAAGAATTGAAGCAAAAAAGACAGAACAAAAGAAGCCATTGCAATAGATTTACAAATGAATCTGTCTGTCGCAAACACAAGTACTAACAATGTTTATTATTTTATGCAACTATCATTTTACATATACAACATATATGTACATAAACTTTCAGACTCGGAATCTTTTTTTTTATACCTATGCAGAAATCTATGGCAAGATAGAAGGAGATAGGGTTTGTTCCTTACTTTGGCGAACCTTCTTTACCGAGTCATTATCCAAGCGTTTTATATAGCACTTTTTGTTTCTAAAGAAACCACAACTCGTTTACGTTTTAAACTCATATTGCACTTTGAGTTCTGTAGAAACTACACAAAGACAAGATATGAATGAACTTGTAAGAGCTTACAGTGGAACGAACCGAAAAGCTAGCTGTGATGACACAAATTGTCGTGTGGAGGAGTGGGTGGGGAGGGGGCCAGTAGAAGCATAGTGACTTGAACCATAACACTCGCTAGTGACTTATCTCTTCAGCGTACCAATACCCACCGCACACGCTTTCACTTGATCTCGCTCATCAAGCTAATTGATTACATAATTTTTTCTTTTCAATATATTACTACCTCGGGTAATCCAGAGGCTCGGTTAGTCAAGACTCGGATAATTGCGAGTCTACTGTATATATTTTTTGTATTTGCTCAGATATTTGTTATAGTAACAAGAAGACTGATTACTTTAACTATTTTAAGTAGAAAAATATGCTGCTCCATTTATTTTTATTCTGATTCAATAAAAAATGGTGTTAACTACAGTTTTTATTGAAGATAATATATTTTATTTCCATTTCACCATTACACCATTTCCATTAACCATTATAATATGGTTTCTTAAGTGATTTACCATAATTTATGTATTTTTACAGCCATTCTACTGGAACATCACACTGGCTAGATCCAAGATTGTCCAAGTTTCAAAAGAAAACACTAGAAGACTGTTTGGATGATGAGTTGCCCTATGGTTGGGAAAAAATTAGTGATCCCCATTATGGCACCTATTTTATAGATCATGTTAATAGAAGAACTCAGTATGAGAATCCTGTTATACAAGCAAAGAGGGCAGCTTCTCAGGCATCTGCTAGAGTTAGCAGAACATCATTTACAAAAGATCCATCTGAGCTTTGTGGGCAGCGTTTTAAAACTTCACTGGTGAAATCCTCTCGAGGCTTAGGTTTTACTATTGTAGGAGGAGATGATGGGATTGATGAATTTCTTCAAATAAAGTCTGTGGTGCCTAAAGGACCAGCATGGTTGGATGGACATTTACAAACAGGAGATGTAATAGTATATGTTAATGATACTTGTGTTTTGGGTTACACTCACAATCAGATTGTTAGATTATTTCAGTGTATAAGTGTAGGTTCCACTGTAGCATTGGAGGTTTGTAGAGGGTATCCCTTACCCTTTGATCCCAATGATCCCAACACAGAAGTAGTAACTACTATAGCTGTAGACACACATATACAGCCTGTATCAAATGAAAAATGTTTAGTAGATACTAATTATAATTTTGTAGAGGGGGAAGAAGTGTCACCTAATGATAAGACTATTTTAGATTCTAGTAATGATATAGATGATCTCTTAAAGGGTATGGGAAATATTACTGTAGGTAGAATAGATGTTAAAGTAAAGATAGTGAAAGGACATTTGGGCTTTGGGTTTACAATCGCTGATAGTGCATGTGGACAAAGAGTTAAAAAAATTCTTGACCATCAACGTTGTAAAAACTTACAAGAAGGTGATATACTTGTAGAAATAAATGATATACCTTTGCAAAATATGTCACATGATGAAGTAGTTCAAGTCCTAAAAAACTGCCCCTACAATAGTGAAGCTCTAATATATGTTCAAAGAGGATGTTCAACAAAAACACCAACTATTAGGTATAAGTCTAGGAAGTTAGATATTCGCTTTAATGGTAAAGATTTTAGTAGTGCTTATAGAAGTAAAACACCCACAGCTGACATATACAGTACTCAAACTAGGGAAGTTTTGCCCAGTAGACCGAAGACTCCATTAGTAGATACAAGAGGTTTATCAAAGACGTCTGTTAAAGATATTAATTCGAATTCAAATAATGATATATTTAAACGTGACTATGACAATATTACCCCCGACAGATCTCGATTACGTTTGTCTTTGATAGATAATCATGAAGATGATGTAGACTTACTTGTGGAAAACCAAAATAAATCTATGGGAGAATGCTCAGCTCAATTAGATAACAAGTTTAGTTTGTATAATCCAATTCCTCATAGATATGATTGCTCCTGTGCATATTGCTCAAATCTTAGACCCAGTATTGTGGAACCCCTAGATACGTATGAAAATGCCAAAAAGTTCAACGGAAATGAATGGTGGTATCCTTCACATAATGTTGAATACCTTACTACTGCCGTTACGTTAAACAGACAGGAAACTGGATTTGGTTTCAGAATTATAGGAGGAATTGAAGATAAATCTCAAGTAAGTGTTTTTTATTTATTACTAATTATCTCTTTATATTTCACAATATCCTACATGCAAGAAACAGTATCCATTTTTGTAACTAGGATTTATGGTGTTTACTTTTGCTCTAAAAATAAAAACGTAATTTTATATTTTAACAAAATTTATTTAGTATTACATATATATAAATGCAGTGGTGTAAAGTATTGGGGGTGCACACATATTATATATACCATATAAAAATAGATAAGACCATAGGCATCCGCTTCAGCCCTATTTCCGTAAGAAAAAGTTTTTTGGGTGTCGTCAAATTGTAAAAATTAAAGGATCTTATTAAGAAACTACAATAAATAATGTATTTTATTAAACTTAAAATTATAATTTAGTTTTTAAATGTTACAAGCAATTTCTGTATTGAAAATCAAGTCGCCTGTCTTTTTTTGAGATAAATTCTTCAATAACCAATTCGTTAAAATTTGGAATTTCTTAGTACTTCTAAGGCCCATAGTACTTCTAAGGAAAGTTTTGATACATTTCAATGTACGATACGCGGCCGATATCTGCCTATTAGGTCAGAGATTCCAAGATCTGGCTTACCAATTGGAAACACTTTCGACGGAAGCCAAAAAAATAGGTTTGAAAATCAATATTAGTAAAACCAAGTCCATGAGAATAAATGCAAGGAATAACACCCTATTTACTATCGACAATATGCAGATTGAAAATGTTAAAAACTTTACATATCTTGGAAGTGTCATAACAGAAAAGGGAGGTACAGAAGACGATATTGGTATGAGGATACGAAAAGCCCAACAAGCTTTCAGCACGCTCAACCCCGTTTGGAGATCTGGCGAGTATACTACAACGACAAAGATTTGAATATTACGATCAAATGTCATGTCTGTTCTACTCTACAGATGTGAAACCTGGAAAGTGACAAACACCCTCACAGACAAACTGCAGTTCTTTTTTAACCAATGTCTACGAAGAATTTTCCGTATATTCTGGCCTAAGACCATCAGAAACGAAGATCTGCTACACCTGACCGAACAAAAGAGGGTACAAAATGAAATTAAGTCCAGAAAGTGGGGTTGGATCGGTCAGACACTCCGAAAAAACAGTTCCAGTATCGCAAAGACTGCCCTAGAGTGGAATCCCCAAGGGAAAAGAAAAAGAGGTCGCCCAGTACAAACTTGGAGAAGATCCATCATAGACGAGATAAGAGGCCAAGGAAAGCCTTGGAATGAGGTGAATGCCTTAGCGCAAAATAGAACCCGATGGCGCATTTTCACCGAAGCTCTATGCTCCACTTAGGAGTTCAAGAACCTTATATATTCAATGTAGAGAAACATCGTTCTGCTTCTGCTGTTGTCATTGGCATCGTAACAAGTACTTGAAGAATTAAATTAATTTCAGAAAAATCTTCTTGCAAATTATTTTCAATCAAAAATTCAAGTAAGTGAACTGCTCCGGAAAGTTCTTTAAAATCGGATCTTCTATAAACAATTTCCAATTCAGTCCTTAATTTATTTTTATTTAAAAAGGGATAATTGGTAATTGCTGATTCCAATGTCAATGTAGGAAAATTTGTGCTGTATATTTCAAAATTGTCCACTGAAAATAATTTTGCTATTTCCAAATGTCCTGTAAACAAAAACCTTCTTTTAATTTCAGATAGTATAGTATCGCAAACTTCCTTAGCTTGAATAATTGTGGAGACATAAGAATTTCTGTCATCTTTTTCCGTTTCTTCCTAGATTGACTATCGTCAATGTCTGTTAACTCGGTTTCTCTTATAGTGTGAATATTGTCTCTTTTTGTATATTTTCTTCAAATGTAGTCAGGCATCGTTTTACGATTACGAAATCAGTAGCAGTTTTTTGTATATGTGAATATAGTATATCAACGTGAGGCATAACACGATGAAAAACTTTCAACCAAAATACAAATTTATTATCATTCAATAACCTTAAAAGTGCACCTGCTTTTGTTATGGTACCAGATTGCATGGATGTGGATTGTATTCTTTCCATGCATTATCTTACGGCTTCTCTATTTTCATACACCATGTTCACCGTTCTAATTTTGAAATTCCATCTTGTAGCAGATGCTGACGGAACCCCATTTCCCACAACTTCATCTAATATGGCAACTCTCTGAGGTAAATTTGAAAAAAAATTAGTAATGTCGGTCAAATCAGTAAAAAATATGCGTACACATATATATGTTGCCTGAGACATTAACAAATTTAACTGATGCGCATAACAATGTATATAATTGGCATATCTAAATTTATCCTGAATGAGTTTTTGCACACCCCCATGAACTCCACTCATAACACTTGCTCCGTCATAGCTTTGAGAAATTAACTTATCGGAACTTGATAAAACACAACTTAAACATTCTTCTATGCAGCCAGCTAAGGAAACAGCATCGTGGTTATTTGGTTTTAAAAAAGTCCAAAATCTTTCAACAGGGGTCCCGTTTTGTAAAGGGTAACGATAAACTATAACCATTTATATTTGAAATGTCACTCGTTTCATCACTCACAATGGAAACAAATTTTGAAGCAGCAATTTCTTTTTTGATATGTGCCTGACACACTGAAAGCATACAATCGAGTAAATCATTTTGAATGTCTTTTGACGTTCCTTTAAACACAGTAGCTTGCTGCAAATGGTCTTTGAGAGCTAAATCCAATTCGGCGGAAAAATTTATGAGACTTCTAAATATATCAGGGTTTAAATGAAATCGTAGGCTTCCACGGCCAGAGTCAGAATTATAGTTTATTCGTCTTCCGGGTTTGAACCGTGTCATTTGTGAGTGACCCAAAAGTAGGTTCATCTCGACGTTTCGCTACAATTGTATGTAGCTTCTTCAGGAGAACAAAGAAAAAGAAAACAAAAGACAGGAAGATGGGTAGTTAGCAACGGTAACTCAGTTACTCAACGCAACCAGAGGCGAATACTACCTACCAAGATGGGCATTTGGTCACAGTAACTCAACTACTTAACGCAGCCAGAGGTGAAAACCAAATGCTAGGACAGGGATTCACGTCCAACAGCTCAGAACACTAACGCGTCGAGAGGCGGGAGTGAATCCGACGATTACTCCACTACCGCTCTATTTATAGTCGCGGTGACCTGTCGTGTCGGGACGTATCGGCACACTCCGTGGCGCGAACGTCAAGAAGCGCGCGCTGGCCAATCATGTGGCTGCATCGTGGTAGCGGGACCGGACGGCGGCTCTAGACTGAGATTCCAGATGGGAGACAAGTAGTATCGTTCCTCTCGATTGATATTATGTGGATTTTTTCGGATCTCTAGAGATTCGCGGATTTTCCTGGAATAAAAGAAGGGGCTCTTAGAAATAATATGGGTTTTTTCGAACAATATGGAATGACCGGTTTCTTGGCAGTGCAACTGCAGAATGGGAGAAAAGACCTGATCGAATGCATCTTTGGTGCTCTTGAATCCGAGCTTTGACGGAACGACCAGTTTCGCCAATATACACATGTCCACATGAACAAGGAATAGAATAGACACCACAGGAAGATAGGGGCGGTAATGGGTCCTTAAGAGAGGGTAGATATTGTGAGATTTTCTTGGGTGGTCGAAAAGTAGTCCTGATACCTTCTTTGCGAAGAATTTTGATAGGAATTTTGATTTGATAGGATTGGCATTGTGTCTCATGTCTCGAACCCGTGAAGTTTCCGCATGTCTAAATAGAATAAAAATAACTAAATGTTACCTATTACTTATAAGTTGCTCGGATCTGTAATTTCTGATTTCAGTTACGGTTAATTAGTTGATTAAAAATATTATTTATAGAATAATAAATTTTAAATATTTATATAAATGTTTGTATGAAAATAATTGTGTGAGTGCACGTGCACATGTGCACTTATGAAGGAACCGCCACTGTATAAATGTAATCCTCATCTACTCGGATCAATCTCCCTCACTCCAATGAATTGTAACACCTACATGTCATTTTCTAAGAGATGTGCATGTCTTCCAGGCTGGTTTTGATTCTATTGTATTGCATACGTCGATTATTCGATAGCCAATGAAATGCGTTTATCAGACCAATCAGAGTACGAGCTTTTCGGGTGTTGATCGGGGTGCACAGAAATCGAGTATTTTTGGGTATTTTTCCATTAGAATGCTTTTCAATAGCTTATGAAAAGTTGGAATAGGAATTTGCAAACCGTTTCGCTCTAAGTCAAATCGTTTGGATTTCATAACTCGGAAATGTAAAAAAAACTTTTTAAACGTCAATAACTAAAAATTATTTCATTTTTATTCTACTTCAGATACTATGTCTAAAACTTTTACCTATTCAGAGTTAATTTTGGCATTACAAGAAACCAGAAGCACAGCTCCCGGTTTGGATGGTTTCACATATAAAATTTTACACAATCTTCTAGTTTCAGTTAAACAAATAATTTTAAAAATTTTTAACAACTGGTGGGTAAAACAAGATTATGATGCTGAGGATTTAAAAAATATTGTTATATGTTTAATAAAAAAACCATTTAAAGATCCAAAATTACCCTCATCATATCGACCTATATCGTTAATGTCTTGTCTGACCAATACTTTTGAACGCATGATTAAGTTTCGCCTAGAATATTTTAAGACGAAAACCTAAACAAAGACGAAAACGGCTACGAAAAAGGACCATGATGATAGGTACATGGAATGTACAAGGAATAAGGGATAAAACTGAAGAGGTCATCAAAGAAGTAAAAACAACTTGGCCTCAACATAGTGACCCTCACTGAAACAAAGAAGAAGGGCGTTGGATCAGTAATGATAGGAGACTACATACACCTGTATAGTGGCGTACCAAAGGAAGAAAGAGCTAAGAGAGGAGTATCCGTAATTATTAACAAAAAGTTTAAAAGGAAAATTACCAGCTGGACTGCAATAGATGAAAATATCCTGCAAGTAAATATGACCCTACACCATAAAAAAACAACAATACTAGCAATCTATGCCCCCTCAGAGGATGAGAATGTAACCACAAAAGACGAATTCTTTACAAAATTAAACGAAGTTATTACTAGAGTTGGAAATAACCGAGAAATATTTTTATTAGGCGATTTTAATGGAAGAACAGGAAACAAGCGCCACAACAATGTAATTGGACCTTATGGAGAAGACGTCGTAAATGATAACGGAGAAAGACTTATCAATCTCTGTGAAAGTAATAGACTCAAAATAACTAACGGATATTACTGTCACAAAAACATACACAAATATACATGGTTTCAACCAACAAGGAATCTTAAGTCTATAATAGATTACATGATAGTTAAACAAAATTCACAAATACTCATTAGAGATATTAGAGCTATGAGAGGAGCAGTATGCGGATCAGATCACCACATGGTCAGGGCAAAAATTGTTTTCCCATATAGATTAAAGGACAGTGTCTCATCAAGCCAAGACGAACAACTTTTAGAAAGAATTGATCTTCCTCAATACAATCTGTCCAGTTTAATTCATGAGAGCACCCGTACACTATATAAGACTCGAATGGACACCAAACTTGACGAAACACTAACAAATACCAAATGCATATATGAGAACATAATATCAAGTATTCATCAAACAGCACAGGAGGTCTTAGGAATCAAACAAAATAAAATTAGTAACAAGCTTTGGTGGAATGAAGACGTCGAAAATGCGGTAACAGAAAAGAAAAGATTATACCATAAGTGGTTGAATACAAAAGATGACGCAGACAAAGACCGATACAATGAAATGAAGAAGAAAGCTAGAAAGATAATTATGACCTCCAAAAATGAGACATGGGACAGAAGGTGCAGAGAGATAGAATCTTATATTGGAGGACGACAATGCACTGAGGCGTGGAAGTTTATAAACTCTGTTAAGAAGCCGACTAACGAGAAAGTGATTCTAAATCCCATAAATCCCGAGGATTGGACACATTATTACAAACATCTATTAAATGAGAACAGAGACGAATTTAAAGAAGATATGAATTCATCAAGAATCGAAATTCTGGGAGAGCATATTACCATAGATATCAACACAGTTCAAAAAGCTATAGCAGGGATGAAGAATGGGAAAGCAAGTGGACCAGAGGGAGTAACTACGGAATTAATAAAGAATGGCTCAGAGAAATTACACAGAATGATCACGGTGATATTTAACGAATATATTAATGGACATCCAACACCAGATGAATGGAAAACAGCATATATGACCCCAATATATAAAAAAGGTGACAGGAGAAATTGTAAAAACTATAGAGGGATATCGGTCACAAGTTCAATGAGTCGACTATACGGTCGAATACTACGGGACCTGATAGAGGAAGATTATCAATCGTCTGAAGACGAAGAACAAGGAGGATTTAGAGCAGGTCGTTCATGTACAGATAACATCTTCTGTCTTAAACAAATTATAGAAAAGAAAGTTGTGACAAATAGAGAGTTACATATGACTTTTGTAGATCTTGAGAAGGCATATGACACAGTCCCGCTAAATAAACTATGGGAAGTCCTGGGCACATCAAATATACATCAAACATTGGTTAGTGCTCTCAAAGATCTATATTATGGTTCAAACTCCCAAATGAAATTCGGAAATCTCTTAGCTGAAAAATTTGCAGTTACTAAGGGTCTCAGACAAGGATGTTGTATCTCTCCGACTCTGTTTAAGATTTATATCTCTGCAGCTCTGAAACAATGGAAAAGGAAAGTCAAAGGAATGGGTATACAATTGAACGATCAGGATTACATATATACTTTACAGTTTGCAGATGATCAGGTGGTGATCTCAAATGACAAAGACGACATGGAATACATGCTTAGAAAACTAATTGAAGAATACCAGAAATGGGGATTAAATATCAATTTAGAAAAGACAAAATACCTCTCAATTGGAGCTGAAGCAGAACAACTCGATATCGATGACAATCAAAAAGTAAATCCATGTGACGAATATAAATACCTGGGCGTCATCTTCGACCGTAGTGGAAAAGACGAACGAGAAATAGAACATCGAATTGTACAAGCACGAAGAGCTATAGCATGTTTGAACGGAGTTCTATGGAGTAAAGAAATATCAAAGAAAAGAAAATGGAACATCTATGAGACAATGGTTAAAACTAGCCTACTTTATGGAGCTGAGACATGGAGAATAACCGAGAAATATAAGAAAAAGGTCGAAGCCACGGAAATGGATGCCATCAGAAGATCGATGAGAATATCAAGAGCCGACAGAATACGGAATGAAGTGATAAAACAACAAATGGGTATAGAGGGCACTATAGTTGAGGATATTGAGAGAAAACAGCTCATATGGTATGGACATGTGAGCCGAATGGGGGACGAAAGATTGCCTAAAAAAACGATGATGTGGCAACCCCCAGAGAAGAGGAAACGAGGAAGACCACCACAGAGCTGGAACCTGGGAGTTAGGAAAGCGATTAGCGCTCGAAATCTGGACGAAGACCTAACTCAAGACCGAATACAGTGGCGGTTGGGAGTCGGACAACGTCGTAAGACGTTATAAAACCGAATGTATATATATATATATATATATATATATATATATATATATATATATTATTGAAAGCAATTCTCTCCTACCCACTACACAGTATGGATTTCGGAGAGGCCGTAGTACTATAGATGCATTGACCCATATGGTTACAGATGCACAAATATGCTTATCTGATAACAAATACATGTTATGCCTATTTGTGGACCTAAAAGGTGCATATGATGTGGTTGATTTGAGTATTTTAAAAACAAAATTGTGTAGAATGGGTATCAGCAAACAAGTATCAAATAACTTAATAAATTTGTTTCTAAACAGAAAAATTTATATTCGTAACCACAGAAATGTACTCCACGGGCCAAGAACAGGATATAACGGTTTGCCGTAGGGATCAATATTGAGTCCACTTTTATTTGTTGACACTATAAAAGTTATTCAGTACGCGGATGATATTTGTTTCTACTATCCATAGTTCATATGAACGATGTATTACAGATTTAGAGTATATTTTTTGCTGCATGCGTGATTGGTTACATACTATGGGTTTTAGTATTTCACAGCAAAAGACAGCGGTTATGTGTCTTACTAGGCACAGACTTAAAACACCTGATTTGTATACCATAGGTGATATAGTAAAAAAATATAAATATCTTGGCATCTATATTGATAATAAACTCCTATGGACCAGCCTAACGGGTTGTAGGGCTCAACATTCTGCGTGTAGTTTCGATATATAAGTGGGTGCATATGTTAAAATATCCCTTACTTTTTATAAGTCATTACATCCGCTCAATAATGGATTATGGATTTACTATGTATTTATTCCTCAACTAGCAAATCAAACTTATTATTCTTAGAGAGAATTCAATATAAGGCAATTAAAATAAGTCTAGGAATTATGATGTCATCACCGAATTGTGCAGTTCTCGCTGAAGCACAAGAACCGCCTTTGTGCCTTCGAAGAGAGTACTTAGCTAATAAACAGTTAATAAAGTATAGGACGTTTATGGTCAAAAAAATATCAAATATAGCGGTCCAGAATCTTACAAACAAATATTGGAGAATTAAAACGTCTCCCCCGCTTGCTGATGCTTTTATTGACACTGAGAGACATAAAGAAGTAATACATAGTCAAAAAAATATCCTATTTACGAAATCGATTTTGTAGCCTTAATATTTAAACCAACCATTATAATTCCAAACTATCCAGATAATATATTTCTATCAAAATTAATTTTCAAATCTATACTCTGTAATTTAGGAGAGAATAAAATCATCATCTATACGGATGGATCAAAAAAAAGATTTAAAACAGGCTGTGCATTTTTAGTTTCTAATATTAACCATGTTGAGCAATATCAAGTCCCTCATTATTTATCGATTTTTAGTGCAGAAGCTATAACTATTAGGAAAGCTTTAAATTGGTGCGAGATGAATTTACCTTTATCTGTGGTAATTGTAACAGACTCTCTCTCAGTTTTGCACGCCATTAAAAATCCTCCTTTTAACCATTATACCAAAAATATTCCTTACATCAATTCGTGGGATTATAATAGATGTAAGTCATCAATTATATCACGTTTAAAACTTAATGTAGATTCTCCGTGTTGTCCTCACTGTCCAAAAAAACCTTTAGCCGATATAAATCACATTTTCTTAGAGTGTCAAAAATATACTGCACATACAGATATGCTGTATCAAGAACTTATATGTGTGTGTACATGTGTATATATGTGTATTTACAAACATTATATAATTAGAATCCAAACCTCTGTTTTACCCCATTTGTTAATACCTCCTGGCCGTGACCTAGTCTAGTTTGTCTTAATAAAAATGTCTTGATGGGTCCCTAGACAAGAAACGAGTGGTCATGTTTTGTATCCTTATCCTATCCTTAATAATAATAATAAAAAAATACAAATTTTTTGTGGCAAATAGACTTCTGTCTAGTAATTCTGATGCCATCCACTATCTACACACACACACACACAACTAAAAATCAACTGCACTTAGATATAGTTTATGATACACGAAATCTATTACCTATCGAAATTTTACTGATACTAGGTAGTTTTACTTGTAATAGAGCCTAGTCATAAAAATCTTTGGACGGTTCTCTACGTGACGACTACTTAGATCTGTTGGCTGCCAAGCACATGACATGAAATCCGGCAAATGCGCATTCTATCTTAACCCTACCGCATTCTCAATGTGAATTTCACTATAGTGAAAAAAATAGTAAAATTTAATATCGGGTTTTGGTATTTAGAATAATTACTATTTTAGGTTGCTGTGGGACACATAGTACCAGGTGGAGCAGCTGATGGAGATGGAAGAATACAATCTGGAGATGAAATAGTCAGTGTAGAAGGCTATTCAGTGATAAAAGCTTCTCACCGCCAAGTAGTCCAATTAATAAATGCAGCAGCAGCTAGAGGACAGGTTAGCCTTATCCTTAGAAGACGCATGAACCCCCAAATGCCTATTAATGCGGGGTACTGGTCTCCTGAAAACCACTCGCAGCTACCGGCGGTTAATATGACTTTGATGCCTGCTAGTTCACATCTTGCATCTACATACGAGATTACTGTACAGAGGACTGAGAATGAAGGCTTTGGTTTTGTTATTATATCGTCTGCAAACAAAATTGGATCTACAATTGGTATGTTTTGGTATATTTAATTTAAAATCAGTATTTATTAAAACTGGTGTCCAAAATTGTATCATTTTGTGCTTTAGGTCGCCTCATTGAGGACAGCCCAGCTGAACGATGTGGAAGATTGAGAATTGGGGATTACATAGTAGCTGTAAACCACATAGATATTATGCATTTAAGTCACGGCGATATCGTGAATTTAATCAAAGAGTCTGGTCTCTCAGTCACATTAACAATTGCTTCAAATCCAGATCTTTGATTAATATATACAGGTATTTCACGCAAAATTAACGTTTTTATTTACAAAATGAGGAAAAACTGTGTATATTGTGAAGTATATACGAAACTATACAAATGTTTTTTAACGATCAATTAATATTAATGTATAAAATTGTTGCTAATATATAACACTGGTAATGACAATTAATTAGTGTGTATTATGAACAAACTGAACATAATTGTTTAGCAGTCTTTGTAAATACCATGTAAAAACATTCGAAACCTGTATTATTATTTGTAACTTGGCCGCCGCAGTCCTACTATATCTTCTTCAAGGATTTTTATGATTTTTTCTCAATTTTACATTCTGGAGTCTGAGTTTTCGTCTCTTCTATTACTTGTGTTTTTTTTAACGATCTAGTTTTTTTTAGTTATATTCTAGTTTTACTGAGGTTTTCTCTGGTTTTAGTTGGGTCTAAATTACTTACTGCAGCTAAAACGCAAATTTATATAAATAGTCCAGTAAATGAACGTGAAATACGGCGATACTACGTAATTTTCCGTGTCACCACCGCATGAAAATTTGGATTAAGGTTCTACTTACCATCCCCTTTACTTTTTGAGTTGTGCCATTGATTGCTTTTTATTTTTAAGGGGTGAAAATTAACCCGATTAGAAAAAAATCGTATAATTGTAAATAGGTAAAGAAATAATAAATAAGACTTACTCACAATCAATTTAATTTAACTATCAGACGACCGGTTTCGCTTTCTACAATATGCAAATCATCTTCAGGTCTCGATACAAAGTTAAACAAATGCTGAAATGATAAAAACCCATATTAGGGTGTTGTCTAATAAAGATAAACAAATTAGATGTTATAAATTACAATAATTATGCCAATATTACATGTCTGTGGTTTTATTTAAATGATTGAGTTGAATAAAAGGTATAAAAATTTTTTTAGAATGATAAAAAGACAAGGTAAGGCCCACAAATTGTTATAAAATCACTTCTATTGTAATAAATTAATAAATGAGCAAATAAATAAATAAAATAAAAATTACTTACATGCCGGTACTCTATTAATAGATGGATGGTAGAACATGTTTGAAACTACTTTATATTGTTGAATGGTTCAACATATCAAGTTCATTCAACAATATAAAGTAGTCTCAAACATGTTCTACCATCCATCGATTAATAGAGTACCGGCATTTAATTTTATTTTATTTATTTGCTCATTTATTAATTTATTACAATAGAAGTGATTTTGTAACAATTTGTGGGCCTTACCTTGTCTTTTTATCCTTCTAAAAAAATTTTTATACCTTTTATTCAACTCAATCATTTAAATAAAACCACAGACATGTAATATTGGCATAATTATTGTAATTTATAACATCTAATTTGTTTATCTTTATTAGACAACACCCTAATATGGGTTTTTATCATTTCAGCATTTGTTTAACTTTGTATCGAGATCTGAAGATGCTTTGCATATTGTAGAAAGCGAAACCGGTCGTCTGATAGTTAAATTAAATTGATTGTGAGTAAGTCTTATTTATTATTTCTTTACCTATTTGAAATGGACTCACACAAGCAACACATTCATGATTCGTATAATTGTAAATTAAAGCAGGTAATTGATTCAAATCATCTTTTAATGAAGTGAGTGAATGTTATTTAACATTAAATAACATAATTTAAGATTTTATCACAATTTAACCCCTAAATCTCACCCCTAGAATAATTAGAATTAAAACAATATCATTGAATATCTTGTCTCCACTGATTTGTTTGGAAATTTGGACTTAGGTTATACTTACCCTCCACTTGAAAATTGGTGTGTGCCGTTGGTTGATTTTTATTTTTTAGTGGTGAAAACTACCCCTATTAGAAAAAAAATCATATAGGGTAATTTTATGAGAGATGGCGTACAAAATTTAGAACTCATACTGTCAAATTCTACGAGGAAACTAGTTCCTGTAGCTGGCTGTATACCATATATCACAAAAAAATTTTGTTTAAAATCCTTGATAAAAGGTATATAAAAATGCCTCAAACGGGCTATCACAAACACATTGCAAAACGTTTTCGGATTAAACAATCCATCATCAGTGCAAACCTGAAAGTATATAACCACTTTAATTAAAAAGAAACGTTAAATGAAAATGTTGACAAGGTTAGAGCAAAATGTGGTTAATACTTACGGTTGTACATGCTAGTAGCCACCAAAATATATGGGTAAAAACATTTTAAAGGGTTTTTACCCATATATTTTGGTGGCTACTAGCATGTACAACCGTAAGTATTAACCACATTTTGCTCTAACCTTTGTCAACATTTTCATTTAACGTTCTTTTTAATTAAAGTGGTTATATACTTTTCAGGTTTGCACTGATGATGGATTGTTTAATCCGAAAACGTTTTGCAATGTGTTTGTGATAGCCCGTTTGAGGCATTTTTTATATACCTGTTAATAAAGGATTTTAAACAAATTTTTTTCATACTGTCAAGTTAAAGAGCAGTTAGCTGACTACCTTTTAATAATAAAAGAAAGATGTTATTTCCAAAAAAAATTAATGAAATGAACAAAATGTATTTTAAGATAAAAGCCATTCTCTCTCTCTAGTATATAGGAGAGATACTCGCCACCTAAGGTGAGATGGCGTGCTCATATTTTTCTTCCACATACATTACAAAAGTTTATGTATTTTGTACAACCCTCATGCATCAACGGGCACAATTGACGACTGACTCCAATCTTCGCGCTTAGTGGTCTTTTCATAATCTTCGCCGCAGCTGACACATGTTGCTTCTTCTTCATCGCCGCTGGAAGAATCGTCATAAATAATAGATTCGTCCCCATGGTCTGTCAGAGGAAGAACCTTTATATTTCGTATTGTTTTTAGCGCGTGGTTTCTTAATTTTACGTTTCGACACTGTAGTAGTTTCTTCTTTTACGATTAGTTTCAAGTGTTTTTTTATCAATATTGGCGCTATCGGTTAATATAGCAGCAACTTGCTTACTTCTCTTTCTGACAGAAGCAACACTAGTTAATGCAGGTGCAGGAGAAATGATATCTAGTAACTTTCCCGGAGTCTCTTCCTCTGAATTTTCCTTTTCGGTAATAACTGTTTCTGCAGGCGGAGGAGTAATATCTCTGGAACACTTTGGTTTGTTTATGTCAACTGAAGGATTGGGAATGTGCTCGGAACTCTTTCGGAATTTGCTTGTGAATTGTTATTAGTACTGCTCGTACCCAAATAAGCGTATTCTGGAATTACGGATGAATCAAATGGGACAATACCAGTAGCTTTAAATGATGAAACAGCATTTTGAACTGTTGCTGATTTTTCACAAGCTGTGGCGAAGAGTCGACCAAATTGAAGTCTGCCTATTCTTCGTCCTGGATTTCCTCTTAAATATAAATTACACGACTGATAATAGAAAGCTTTCAGCGATTTAGAAGATGCCTATCAAGAGGCTGTAAAAACTGCGTAGTGTGGCTTGGAAGGCAAAACAGAATAACATCATTTTCGGAAGCGTATCTAATGTTTCGACACTACTGCAATGGGAAGAGTGGCCATCCAAAAGTAGTAACACCATTTCTATCGGTTTTCTTGGGACAAAATGTTCTTTAAGCCATCGCAGAAAAAGTTCTTGGTAACATACGCTGATTTTTCACCCATAAATACTGTTGCACCAGGTGGCATACCTTCTTCAAATTCCGCTTTTTTGTTTTTGCCTTTAAAAATGCACACCGGTGGTATAAAGGACCCCTCAGCGTTACAGCATGCAATTACTGAAATCATTTCTCCTTTTTCAGCCGATGTTACTGAAGCAACATTTTTTGAACCCTTAATTGCTATAACATGTTCCGGCATGTTATTAAGCTGCAACCCTGTCTCGTCAATACTGTATATTGAACCAGGTTTATTCATTAAGGAATGTTCATTCAAGATATTTTCAAGTAGAGCGAAATAAGCAGAAACATCAGTTTTATTCATTCCTAAAGCTCTGGCAGCAGATACACCTTCAGATTTTCTTACTGACAATTGCTTATTTCTTCGTAGAAATGATTCCAACCGAGGATAACCAGCTTTTCGGCTATTCTTATTATTAAGTTTGTGCTTTAATTTAAGCTTTTCAGTTAACTCAAATGCCATTGATCTTACCATTGTCCGAGTAGGAGCCGTGTTGCTGTAACTTTTTGATATGATTTACCAATTTAATTTCATTATCCCAAGAGTAGAAGTCGGACCAAGTTCACGCTTTCGAAATCCCTGGATTTTCGACGGCGGCGCAATATCGCTCCTGTTGTTTGAAAATGTCTACTGGCTTCGTTTACACCCATTTCTCCATTTTCAATAAATGTAATTGCTTGCACAAGCTGCTCCTCCGACCACTTGCTCTAGACATACTTCCTTTCCACACATATTCTGTAGACATGTCTGCAAAAAATTAAAAAGTATTTAAAAACCATTTACCAGCATGCACCATATCTCCTACAGTAATCACCAACCAACTCACCTAAACTTATAAGGAGAGATGGCTCAGTCGTTTTTACCTCGAAATTGTGGAATATGACCGTGAAAAGAGGTTAGAATAATAAAAAAAAATCTAACAGGTTATAGTGTTTAATATATAATAGATATATAGCATTATCTTAGCTGAAGTTGTATCCGACTATCGTAGTGTAAACATTTTCAATGATTCACAAAATATCTTAGCTTATTACACAATTAACCACTGTTTAGAACGGCCGTAGATAACTAAATTACATTCATTTTACAAATTCCCAACTGTCAACAAACGCACGTGAAAGACAAACAGGGTCGTACTGAGGTGTATCATATGATTTTTAAAAACATTTACTTTTGAAACTATTAGTGTAAGAATTTCTTGAAATTTAATCATTGTGAGCAAAATTTATTATTCCATTGAAGAAAAATGTGGTAAAATAAAATTAAATAAAAAGTTATATTATGCCGATGTGTGCTTTTGCCCTAGGGGTGAGTTTCACCCATTCTCAG